TATAGACATGAAATCCTAGTTAAAAATAAAAATGCTCATTTATTGTTTAGGTATATTTACAAATATTATTTTTGGGTCTTGTATATTACTTGAAACCATAAGGAGAGTACCTGATTATTAAAAATAGATAAAATTTGCATTTTATGGACGATACAGATTTTTTGGGATTTCAAAATAATGTACTAAAACATAAAAAGTAATAAGTTCAAATCTGGAACAAATATAAATATCATAATCATTTCTTATAAATACCATTTCCTAATGTAATTTTCCAAGTTATTAAAGATCATAATGCAAAATAACTAAATTTATCAAAAGTAACAGGCTTTATGTTTCTTAAACTACATGCATTTATGAAAGTCCTTATGAAGTTTCAAACATTTTCATCCACTAGTTTTATTGTTAGAATGGAATATAGCAAGACTTGCATTGGCTACTCAGAAAGTTAGTAGCCAGTGGTCATCGGCTTAAGTCAAACGGCATTTATGTGGGAGGTTATGAAATATTTAACTGGCACCTGCACTGATTCCCTGATGGGACCAATAACATAAAAGTACCAATAATGTTTTTATTTTTAATGCCATAGTAAAAAATGAAATAATTGGGGAAAGCTCTTTGTGTTCTAGCTAAATATGCCCTTTGTTATGTTATTCAGAGTTTTGGCCTTGAAATAGTTCATCTTTCACATCACTTGCTTTGTCAGTCCCAACATAAATGACCAAAATCAAGGTTGAATATTGAAACTAACATCATCCCCTAAGTTTGTATTCAAATTCAACTTTAGGTTTTGTTGGGATTGGGTTTTTTTTTCACTTGTTATATTATATCTTTGTAGTTTCATAGGTGATGAACTTAGGAATGGAAAGGAAAACAACTTAGAGGATAGAGGACTTAGTCACTCTGTAACAAAATATGTACAGGAGACCTCTAATGTCAACCAGCATTTCAGTGTGCTGATGTTATGCCATGTGTTTCTCAATCAAACTGACAACATTTTGAATTAGAAAAGGTTGATTTTATGTAGCAGTTTAAACAGGATGTAAATTATAAATTTGTTTATCAACTTAAGTATTGTTCCAATGTATAAGAATTATATAAAACATTAAGCACCTATTGAGAAGCTATTTTTTAAGATGTTTAAAATTTAAATTTTATACCACAAACTTATAAGTTAGTTAATTGTACTGAAGCTATAATAGTTGCACTGTTACAGGTGTGAGAATTAGTGACATTTGTGCAGTATGTGTTATTTATATTTCTTAAATAAATAACTGGTTTATATAGGCCATCATCAAGTTGTATCACATTTCTCCAGAGGAAAGGTCATGCTCCAGTGACTTCTGTTGCTTGGGAACCAGACGGATGTTTTTTGGTTTCTGCATCTGCTGCAGACACATCCATTCTGGTATGATCAGATTTTAAGGTTGTTTTTTTGTTCTGTTTGTTTTTAGTAACACATGTTTCAACTTAGTAACTAATGCAGAGTAATATTTTAAAATACAGGAAACCATTTAAGGTTATTTCTTCTTTTTTTTTCTGTGAGAGTTTCGCCAAAGGTTATTAAAGACTCTTCTGAAAAGTTAGAAATGTAAAACTGTGCTGTACTACACAGTTGGTCTATGGTCAATAAATTTTCCCCAAATATTTATTTACTTATTTTTTAAAGTCATCTTTGAATAGATTAGATTTGGCTTAATTAGTATAAAATTGCATTTCATTGATAGTAGTAAACTGGAAGATAATTCAAAACATTGAATAATTTGTCTTGTTTTTTGTAAGTTTATGGTATAGATTTATTAACCAACTGTTTCAAAAGTTCTATTGTCAGAGAAAATTTGTAGATTAATAGTAACAACTACAACATTAACTAAACAACTGTACTTATAATTGATTTTCTATTTCTCAAGGTAAATCAAAAAGTTATAGTATTGTGAAAAGATGTTTTTGTCAAATTGATTAAAACAGTTTTTGGTTTATCACTTATCATTCCTTTGATAGAAAGTTCTTACTCAACTTTCAAAAGACAAATGCTTTATACATATGTGATTTCTTTTTTAAAAGATATGGGATATCGGAGCAGAATCTTGCACACCCATGCGACGTGTTGGTGGTGGTGGTGTTTCATTCATTCGATGGTCTCCAGATTGTCAGAGACTTTTTGCTGCAACACCCTCTACACTATTCAGGTATTAGAGTCAATAAAACCAAAACAAGATGTTGTTGCTTAGGTGTGTAGTTTTTAGTGTTATAACCAATTTTTATATTTATAAACAATTTTACTGCAATATGGATTAAGAGTAATACAATTAATTAACAATTCAATGTTCAATATAATTTACAATTATAAGAAATAAAATATAATTTAAGTTTTCACCTTCACTGATTTTTCAGTGTTGGCATTTGACTTACTGCCTTTCCTTTAATTTTTCAGACCAAAATTAATTTACTACAGATAGCCTTTGTGTAACATATACAAATACCTGAAACAAACAAACTTGTTCAGAATTCTGAACATACAAGTGGTGTAGTTTTTTTACTTTGAACTGAATGTAGGTTTGAATGGAAAAGTATGGAAATAAGCTTTGTTTACTTATTCTAACAAAAAGAATATTCTCACAAAGTTTTTAATTATTCATTTTCTAATTTAGATTAAAATAAAATATACTCCAAAACATCCTGCCTTTGGTAAGTTTAAAATATCTTTTAACTTTATGCTATGTAATAAGTTTCAGAAGTTGAATATTAAATTATGTGTAACTAAATTTTGAATACTGGTTGTATTTCTAGTAATAGTCACATTCTTGTATCAAAACTGTGATTATATGAAATGTACTACTGAAAATACCCATTCAAGAACACAAGGAACAATGTTTATTACCTAAGCAGGCTTATGGTGCATTGGAGATTTTGTTTTGCATTTTTGATGTATGCCTTTCTTACTATATTATCAATTTGGCTTTTAGGAGAGTTTGAATCAAGAATACTTTTCTGTTGTCAGGAATAAGTGCTATAAACTAGTCAGTATTTATTTTAATGTTCTTGAAGACCACTGTTTCAAATAGTTTTCTTATGCACAAACTGTTTACAAAGGTTTGGTGCATACAAAATCAGCTAAAATCCTTTAATTATATAAAGTATAAAATTATTTATCCCTTTTCCTCCACTTTAGATTGTCTCTATAATATTACCTAGAAATAGCTTTGTTAATGCAGTTTTCTGAAACTTTTAGATAAGCATCTCGTATATCCCTACTACACTTTTATTACATCCATTCGCATAACTTTGAGATAATATTCCACCAATGAATTCCTCTCTTCATTGGTTAATTATGGCATTCTGATTCATATCAGTGTGCATGATACCTCAGAAGAAAGAAATAAGAATGTGTGTGTGTGTATATTACATGGAAATGTTACAAGTGTCACATAATGCACATACAAACAACTATGTTTCAGTCTAGGTTTTAACCCTCTCTATATGGGCTTTGTAATTTTGACCAACTTGCAACCACCTATTTTATTATTTCAGACACATACATAGATAGATACATATATACACACTATATCCATTACAGTAAGAATATTATTTTCATCACTTTGGTAGTGTAATCTGTCTGTGAGTCGAGAATTTCTAAAATATTTTTGGGAGTATTACAACTCATCTTTGTCAGAATCTAGTACATTTGTTGAGAGATCTTTATCCTTCAGAACTCTCTCAGAGATCTCTATTCAGTGTTCAACCTATTTCTGGTGTTTGTTACTAAATTTTGACAAAAGCTATCTGATTAATTAGAAAAGAAAACGTTTGTCATGCCATTTTCAGCTGTAAGTGAAATTTAATAACACTCTTGTCAGTTAGTGATTGCTCCACGTGTCTAACTATTATATATTTATTATATGTAATATTTTTTTTTGCCTGTCTGAAAAAGGTAGAAGTTACAAAATTCATTTTCATATCACAAACAGGATATGGGAGACACAAAGTTGGACTTGTGAACGTTGGTCTAATGTAATTGGGCATTGCCAAAATGCATGCTGGAGTCCTGATGGTAGTGTATTGTTGTTTACAACTTCAGAAGAACCACTGATTTACTCATTGCACTTTGGGTCAACTGAAAATATTAAACCTCATTCAGTAGCCGGATCCAAGTCTGCCATTCCTGTTGCTGATCTCACACCTGTGAGTGTGAGTGATGGATCAGAAACCATTAGGTATGGATTGAATTTATATTCATTCTCTTCTATAATGAGAAATTTGATATCTTTACTAATTATAAAAAACTATGAGAAAAAGATGCAATAAACATTTAAAAAAAATTAATTTTTAACCCTTTCACTGCAGCTGGGACACATATTTCCCAGTGCTCTGGGAAATATACATCCCAGCCGCAGTGAATGGGTTAATAGATTAAATTTCAAATATTTTTGATTAACTAATATTATTTAATGCACATTTCTAGTCATTTATATAATTTTTCCCATAAATCCTGAAGGTATTTATGATGGAGAGTATTTTTCATAGAAGTTAGACTAACTTCAGTTTAGACTGCTTCATTTCATTTGCCCACTTGGATTGTTCTTTTGAATTATCGTATTGAATGTAATATTATGACCACTTATTAGTTCCAAACTGGAAAGTATGTATATTCTAAAAAAAATGATATTTTTATTGTAGAAAAAGTTTTAACATATGTTTCTATTTAGAAAAACTGTTTCTAAAATACTGGAAAAGATAGGCTTATATAACAAGGTATTAAAAATGTGATATTTCTTTTTTTTTTCGTTGGTTTAACTCTTTCACTATAATGGTCATATAAATATTCCCACAAGAGCACTGTTCTGTAATCTTGGAATAAAGGATGATCCCCTCAAAGAGATTACCAGTTTCAGGGAAATAATGAAATTTCAAAATGCCTGTTTTTGTTTTTTTATTGTTTATAGAAAAATAAACCTGGCACAATGAGAGTTATCTATAAATGTGGCAATGAAATGTGGCAATTTGTTCTAAAAACTTTTATATAGTGAAAAAAATGTGATTTGATATTTTCGTAAAATTGGTTGAGGTACTGAGCTTTACAATATTGATATTTATTATTTTTCAGTAATGATAGAATTTTTTTTTTCAAGTACCACTATTTTTTGCAGTAACATGTCTACATGATTTGACTTTTAGTACTAGTTAGGATTTCTCCTTTTGTTGTACTTGCTATATAGTTTAATCTCTGAATAAAACATGATGGTTAATGTTCAGAACTCCAATTTCTATATAGAAGTATCTTAATTATGGTTTCGTGTTGTATTTAGAACTGGTGGTCGTGTCCACCAAATGGTGTGGGATGGTACAGGAGAGAGATTGGCTGTGTCGTTTGTGGGTAAGGAACTATGAATAGATTATTTATCTGATAAAAACTAAGTTTCAGAAGGAGTTAAAATAAATGTAAAGCATTTGAGTTAATGAAAAAACTTTGACTACAAATGCATATTAAACAAAAATTACACATTTTACAAGCATGGTACACTACAAGACAACATTTCTTACTATAAGTTTTTTTTTTGAGATGTATTTTGAACATATTATGCTAAAATACCTCATAAATAGAATTGTCATATATGACAACAAAAAAATACTTCTTTCCCATGGTGACTCAGCAGTAACTTAGTAAATTTATGGACTTAAAATGCTAAAATGCGATGTTTGATTCCCCACTGTAAGTAGAATGCATATACCTCATGTAGCTTTGCATTAAAGAAAAGGAGGATAATTTACATAGTGCTCACATTATGACCACATTGAACTATTCTTGGGTATAATCATAAATTATCTGTTTTATTTACAAGAATAATTTTATGAAATAAAATGCAATGCAATATAAAGCAATTTCATGAGACAATGTTTTGGATACATTTATGCCATTATGACTAAGTTATTATGGAACTAGTGCAAATACTGCATTAAACTTTATATGCATTGATGTAGGATGTGGTTGTTGGTGTTCAAATTTTCTGCGTCAAAGCTCTTTAAATTCAATTGTTGTGTCATTCAGGATAACTAAAAAAAGAAAATGACATATAAAACAAAATGACCATGACAGGACATAACTGTATACTATGCTGTTATGCAGCATGAATGTAACCATTGACTTGAAAACCTGGTTTCACATGTGTGCCTTGGCAAAATGTGATCACAAGCCTAACGATGGTATGTGCTGTCCTACTTTGTTGACAGAAGTTTTGTAATAGATTGTCTTGTGTATGGTTATAGCTGATATAATTAAATTGTATTTATTTTACTCTATCATGTTTATAAAAGCCACTTCTGTAATTCATTTAGAAATTAGCTACAACTGTTTCAGAAAGACAAATCCAAATCCCTATGCTTGTGTCTGGGTGAAGTCAACCATGAGGTACCATTATTTTCAAATTAGCAGGATTTTCTGTAAAGCTAAAAATAACTGCTAAAATAGTGACTTCAACAGATAAACAAGCTGAGAACCAGTAAAATTATGAACTTTATGTAACTTAAAAATACTAAACTATGATATAGTTAAATTATTTAAAAGCATACAGTCATAAAAGTACTCTGGCATAACAACTAAAAATTTAGAAATTTACTATCTGTGTTAGAAAGAAAGGGAGTTCTGACTAAAGGGTTGCAAGGAAGAAAATAATACCAATTTTCAGATGATATATTCTTTATTTTTGTTAGCTTTACAAATTTGAAAATATAAAACAAAAATGCAGCAAGCTAAATTTTTACAGTTTTGTCACATTACAGTATTAGAAAACTCACTATTTTAAAAGTATTTAAGCCAGAAATAAGCATCAAACATGTATATAAATTACAGATTTGTAGCTTTGTTTCTTATGATGACAAGTTTTTACTTACACATCAGGGAGTTCATATATTTCAATACACAAAATAAAAATTAGAATTGGGAGGGAGGGTAAAAAATCTAAATTAAGGATAGAAATTTAAATTTTTTTTTCCAAATTATTTACCTAAAACAAATGTTAATAATATATACACCAAAGTAAGGTTCTAAATTTCAACATTTAATTATAGTTTATTTTGTAGATGATTTGAGGGGTAAAGTCATACAGAACTTTTAAAAACTTGCTGTAATTTGCCCTCATAAAAGAAACAACAACAAAACAAGTTACTGGGCTGGAAAATATTAATGTTTCATTTTATCATTTGCAAAAACACATCTTTGCCCAGCTTTTTCAAATAATACAAACAAAAGGTTTAGGTTGTGCAATAAGAAATAAAATTTTATGATTTTTTTTTCTTTAATCTTATTGTAATGGAAAATGTCAATTTTTTTTCTTTTCTAGATAATCCTGAATTAATTGCTGTTTTTAGGACCCGTATCAAACCTTTATTAGAGCTAAGTCCTTGGTAAGTAGACCAAGAATCATAGTTAGGGGGGTTATGGTTTGAGACATACTGTGCTGAAGCAGATTTTATACATATTGTATGTTATAGTTTTTAACCCTTTGACTGTGGCTGCTTTAAACACACGTGGAATTTTTGTGATATGTACATTGTATACAGCACACTCGCATTCAACTGCTGGAAGCAGGCCATACCCTATATGGGAAATCAACAGTCAATGGGTTAATTGGATGATATATGACATGAGACTTTTTTGGTGTGTTTTTTCCCACAAAGTGTACTTTTCTTTTTCTTTTCATTCAAATTGTAACAGCTGAGAGTTGTGTATGTCTGGGGAAAAAAATATGGGTCATTAACTGGGTCGTGTTTGACAGACATGGCAGAACTGTTACTGTGATACTACTGGATGATTTATAAGTAAGCATTTCAAGCATGCAAAATTAACACAGTGAAGAAGCACAATTTCTCTTCATGAACCAATGCAATTTTTCAGTTTACCATAATCTAGTCTAAAGTAAGTGTATTTCTTCACTTTTAAGCTATATTAACTGCATAGTTGTTTTACGAAGTCTAAATTAACTACCTACTTCACCATAAGTGCTAACATATTACAGTTTTTCACACATAGAATTGAACCAGCAAACTTTTTGTTATATCATTTCGTGATAACTGGGGAACTTGAGGGGAAATTACTGGCAGCTAATAATAAGCTACCTCGAATTTATATAATTATTTATCTTAATTGAATGAACTATTAGATGGGCATGGCCTTTTTATTGTCAAAGTAGTTATAGGTAGCAAAGCTGTCCACATTTTTCACTTGTATATGCTCCCAAATGGTTCAGCGATAAGTCTGAGAGCTTAGAATGCTAAATATCAGCTTTCAATACCATGGTGGTTTGAGTACAGATAGCCCATTGTGTAGCTTTTTGCTTAACTACAGAAAAAACAAATATTTATATGCAAGAGTAATGTTTTGCTATAATATTACATTATCAGTAGTGTAAGATGTGTTGTTCACCATTACCACCAAAATCTCCCATGTCTATTTGAGTTCTTTCAAAAAGAATTTGTAATCATGTCTGGTTATTTTAGGGGCTCTACAACACAATTTTTATATGCACTTGTATTTGTGTTACTTAAGTATTTTTGAAGTGTTCTTTTTGCATCTTAGCAGAGATAAAATTAAAAAGAGTACACTTTCATTCTTTACATTGTGTCATGGATGAAAAATCAGAGCAAATAACTTGTGTAATTTTATGTCTCAACAAATGTGGTTTGTTCTTATGCAGATTTTATTTTGCTAATTATTACTTCATTCTTGAGACTGGGTAATGTATATACATTGTCTTATTATATTTAATGATTTTGAGAACTATAAATTAAAAAGAATATTAGATGCTTGGTAGAATATGTATAATTTTTTGTAGCCAAAGTTGAGATTTTACTGTATTTAATTTTATTTTTGTCTGCTTTATATTGAAGCATTTTTCCTATACTCGTGCAATATAAGTAACACAAATACTCTACGTTCTTCAAAAAATTAGAATTTTTCTTAAATAATGCCACAAAATTTCTAGACATTTTAATGAATTTTCATTGGTTCTTTTCTCTTTTCACTTTATTTAAAAACCTTATAATCCTTTTATATATAAAAATGTTTTGCAAGCATAGAAATAGTTTTACAGATTTTTTTAGGTATGTATTTGTAAAGCTAGCAATATTCAACCTATTCTTCATGTATACATGTTTATTGGGGTGATCTGTCCATGTATTATTCATTGTAAGCAAATTTTTGATTTGTTAGAATCAGAAAGACTATTCAATTAGTTATCTCAATGAATATTTTAAATAAGATTAAATATTTAAAACAATGGATATATTTACTGCTTTATTTGTGTAGTTTTTGAATGGTAACTAAACTGTAAATATACTGAAATAATATTCATATTGTTTCTTCGAGCACTTTGTATTTTAAGTGTGAGTTATTCTTATTGCATCTAATTTTTTATTGTTTGAAATTTTTTAATATGCAATATTTGCTTTAGAAAGATAAAATTCAAACAGATCTTTTCTTTGCTGTTTTTAGTGGATTTATCCGATCTCCAGAGAGAGAAACTCCTCAACTTCTCAGCTTCCACGGCAGCTTTGAAAGAGGTGCCTTGTTAACTGTGGTAATAATTTTATTGACTCCATAACCACATTGTCCAACAATATTGCAGACTTCGTTATTATGAGCTCTCTCAGACTTCAAGATAACATCATTATTAGTTTGCTTCAATAATATAAGGATACAAGTAGTTAAACTTCTCAAAAAATTGTGTTATGTAATTGTTTCATTTAGGTTTTACATATCTCTCTTGTACATTTAAATATGATAATACAGTATTAAGAAAAATATAAACCACATTTTAATTTTTGCAAGCCATAGGGTCAGCTACCTTTTAAAAAAGTTATGTTTATACCATGTAACATATGTCTATGAATATATATATATATATATATATATATAGTTAGATTCTCCATATGAAATGTAAGTTTATAATTGGTATATTGTTTAAACTTTTGTAATAAGCTCTAGTTACAACTTCAATATTAAAACTGTGTTTCACATGAGGTGCCAGAAGAAATAAGGCTGAACCATTTCAAACCTGCAGTCAAATATTTTGTATGCTGTTTAACTTGATTATTTTTTAAAGAAAGCATAAAATATATTAGGACATATATTACTGTGTACTAAGCATTTGTAATTCAGACACCACATACCAAAAGTAAAAGAAATAATGTCAAACTCACCCTGAAAAATGTTTTCATTCAGACTATTCTCACACAATTTGCTTACAAGTTGTGTTTATATATATAAATTTTTTTTTTCCTTGTAGTGCTGGAGTAGTGGAAAAATAAGCAACATTCCAATGTTGTTTGTACCAGTGAAAGCAGCAACAACTAATGGATTTTCATCTTTTCTTCATTCAACCCCCTTATACCATAGGGGAATAGGAGAAATGCCTCGTTCACCTTTTCTGTTTTCAAGTCCTGGTTCTTTGTAAGAAAGGTACACTCAGTACTTGATAAAATATGAAATATTGGGTCATCAATAAATTAATGTCACTTTTTATTAGATGAAAAAACATTTATTAAATGAAATAATCCCCATTTTTATCAATGATGCTTTTCCATCTCACAGTCAAGTTGTTAATGCCCTGATTAAAGAAATCACTTGGGTGTGAAGCAAAAAAGATCTCAATGTCCTTTTTAACACCTTCCAAATTTGATACGTTTTTTCCCATTAAGATAGTATTGCAGCAAACAAAAAAGATGGTAATCTGATGGTGGAGAATATGGTGACTGGGGAAGAACTTCCCAACCCAACTCCATAATCTTTGTTTTGCCTCAAACATGCCACATGTGATGTGGACATGCATTGTCATGGAGAAGAAGAACACCTTTCCGATTGACAAGTGAAAGACGTTTCTGATGAAGGGCTTGATTTAAACATTGCAGTTGCTGACTGTAGATCTCTGCATTGACAGTTCACTGTGGATTGAGGAGTTCGAAATGAATTACTCCTTTGATATCCCACCAAATGCAAAGCATCACTTTCTGCGGATGGAGTCCAGGTTGTGGGGTCGGAAGTGATTTTTTGTCTAGGATTGAGCCATTGTTTTTGGCATTTAATATTCGTATAGAGAATCCATTTTTTATCATCGGTGACAATTTTATCCAAAAATGGTTCACGCGCATTATGCGCCAGAAGAGATGAAGCAACATTCAGACGTTGGAAACGATGATCATCGGAAAGTTCGTGAGGCACCCAAGCATCTTCTTTATGGAGTTTTCCATATTCCTTAGATGTTTATGTATTATTTCATGAGAGACATGCAATTTCGGGCCCATTTCACGAGTGGGCCCGGCATGGCCAGGTGGATAAGGCGCTCGACTCGCAATCTGAGGGGCGCGGGTTTGAATTCTCGTCACACCAAACATGCTCACCCTTTCAGCCGTGGGGGCATTATAACGTGACGGTCAATCCCACTATTCGTTAGTAAAAGAGTAGCCCAAGAGTTGGCGGTGGATGGTGATAACTAGCTGCCTTCTCTCTGGTCTTACACTGCTAAATTAGGGACGGCTAGCGCAGATAGCCCTCGTGTAGCTTTGCGCGAAATTCAAAAACAAACAAATTTCACAAGTGTGTTGCCTTGAGTTAGACTCAACAAGCGTCTTCAGAGCATCAATATCAGTTCCAAAACATGACATTAATTTCTTGATGACCTAATACATCATTTTGTAGTTCAGTTTTGAATGTTTTATACCCATATGTGAATGCTTGATGATAATGCCCTCCAGCTCCAATACAAGGAATAGACCCATATAAATTTCAATGGGTTTATTATTTTTCCAATCTTAATTGAATTTTTGGTCCAAAATTGTGATTCTATAACAAATAAAATTTCTGAAATGAATTCTAGAGATAGAATTAAGAGATAAGATAAAGAAATAAAAGTGAAAAATAAACGTAATCTAAGTTGGTTATCAAACTGCTTATTTTATTGATAATTTTTGTTATACTTTTCCAGATATACTTTTTCATATATTAAACCCCACTGCATCAAAATAGGCCTAAATTGCTACCCTAATTGTAAACATTTTCTAGGGAAACATGCTCTCAAACCCTCCTAGTTCCCTAGTTACTATTGGCAGACACTTCTCACAGGCTTGATTCACTCCCAGCTTTGCTCATAACCATGCTTCACACCGTGATGTGTAGGTTTTTCATTATCAAGGTTCTAAATTGCAGTATTCATCACATTATTTTTCTGCCCTTCAAATTTTGGTATATCCTTATTACAGAATTTAGTATAACCAAAATTTAAATAGCAATTGGTTTCATATATATATATATATATATTTTTCTTGCTAGCTTTTTGTGTGTTTTGTTTTTATTTGTAATGTACAAACATAAAATTACACTTTAAAAGTTTTCATGCTACAGAATTTGTATGACTACATCTAATATAAAGTTTGAAAAGTTTTGTGTATAGAGAAAGGTACATTTATCTACTTTTATTTGTGGGAAGAAGAGGATAGAGATTGAGTATTTTACTTTTCCATATATATACAAAACTATTTTAAGTGGTGTGTGTTCTGTATTTATTGCATCTCTTTTTTTTTTTTCATGCACTGTGGCTAAAAACAGTTAAGTTTTGCAGATATATATATATATATATCATGTTCTTTTTTCAGATTACAAGGTTCTACAAAACATTTTGGATACAGTAAGGAATAAGATTGAAGTATGGTATTAAACAGACTTTTGGATATTTTAGAAATGGTTAAGACCAAGACTGAAGTATGGCATTAATAATATGTAAACTGGATTGAGAAGCTATATTTTTTCAGTGTTGTGGAACATGTACACTTCTGTGAATATGAGTGTTTTTTTTTTCTTTTCTTTTATTAATATAAACAGTGTTTGATTTGCTTAAAGCATGCTAAAAACTCTCCATATACAATTCTAACAAGATAACTATTTTTTGTACACTGGAAAACAAACTAAAAAGATTTGAATGAGCTTAGTGATTCAAAAAACTCAAAACTGTTTGTATAAACAGCACTGGTTACTAAATAACACAACCAATTAGATTATTTAGCTGGTATACATTAATATAATCTGTAAAAAAAAGCATCATGAAATAATTTATGCCACAATGATTCATCCTTTGGGTAGCAAATGCTTTTAAAATGCATGTAAACAAAATATTACAGTAACACTGTAGGCATTTAAACACTTGTCTCTTGTGTTACCTAATGTCCAGTTATCTTGTTGTTAGCAAACTGCTTCTGATGATGTCTTTCACTCATTACCAGACATGTCAGTTGAATTACAGTACATAAGAATGAAACATTATTCATATTTGTCATGTATGTTGAATGGTATATAAAGAATATTTGTAGTATTATTTTTAATAATTTGTCCATCTGAAAAAAAGGTTTGAACTTCACCACCTTTCTGGTCTGTATGTTACTTGTTGCTTATAATAGTCAAATAACAACAGTAACAGACCTGAAACAAAATTAATCAAACTCTTTTGATATAACATAATGCAGAATAAAAAAAAAAATTGCTTGCAAGATGTTGAAGATTAACAAGACTTGTTTGTGATTTAAAATGAAGTAGAGAACTCTTTGATTAATATCTTTATTTTACTTGTTTTCTGTTTCAAACTAATGAACTTAAAATAAGAAGTTACATTTTAAATTATTTAATTTTATAATGGTTACCTGTAACGGTTGAATGTGATGCAAATATCATGATTATCCTGTTGAAATTAGAGAATGTTTTAAGAAGTAAAAACGTCACTTTTCACAATGTTCCTTTATTATAGTCATAGATCTTTGACATAAGAAGATAAATTTTGCATGAAGTTAGTAATATTGGATACATCAGTTAAAAACATGAATTCATTATCTTGATTTCTATGCTTATTAAGTTTGAATAATGTTAGGTATATCAGTTTGTAAACCTGTCTTTACAGTCTTGCTTCTTACGTTTGTTTAATAAAAGAATGGGTTTTCTTCTTCTTTGTCTGCATTATGTATAATGTGTGATGTATTTGGTAAACTCGGCCTTTTTCAAATCAATATAGAATTTAATGTATTGGTTTTTAGTAAATATGAAAAGACTAGTTACCTTTGCCATCAACTGGTGTTATGTCATGAAATCTGTAAGATAAATTTTATTATTAAAGAAATTTAAAACCTGTACTAGGCTTTCTAGCCCTCTTCAGTTCTTATGTGAAAGTAGTTTTATTAAAATAAGAAAAAGAAATCGACTCATTTTTCAGGAAACGTAAGTTAATGATAAAGCGAAACATGAACGTGATAATAGGAAGCATTTATTAAACGTTTCGGAATCATCCAAATTCCATCATCATTAATTTAGAGGTACAAAACAAACAAACAAAATTTGTAATTACAACAGAAATATATACATTAAGTAAACAATTTGAATATATATAAGAAATTGAAAAATGTGGCACAAATGAAATAGTTAAAATAAGTTTAGATCAAGTGAAGACTGTGTATTATTTAAGGATGAAAGGAGAGTTTTTATGAATGTTTTTTTTTATTTATTATTATAAGAAGTTCAGTATCATGTTTGGCTGTTGAGAGAATTTTAAAGTTGAAGAGAGAAATCAGATGTCCTGTTCCTGTATTGTGCTGATAGATAGCGGAGTTGGGAGTGTTTGTAACCTTTCTTCCAGCTTTTATAGATATGCTCTTGTTTTCACATGCTCGTGTTCACAATCTCCGCATGTATATAAGTAGACGAGACGTGAACAATGGGCAGTCGTCAAACGATCTTTGGAGCGGATATTTTTTTTTAATAACTTTAACAATGTTTAATAAATGCTTTCTATTATCACATTTGTCTTGTTTTATCATTAAGGAAAAAGAAGCATATAAAATATTTTAAATAATTATAGAAACTGTGAAAAAAATGGATATAAAATACAAATGTTATGGTATTGCTTACCTGCTATTTTATGAAAATAAATTGAGCCCAGAATACATTAACTTATTGATAGTTTACACTGTGATTGGCTGTTCTTCAACCAATCAGACAGTGCCACACCAGCATGATGCCTGTAAAAGTACAGGCAGTTATACTCTTCCCAACAGTAGTATGATGAATGCACTCATGGTTCCCAGGATAAAAATGCATCTTGACAAATGTGTAAATCAGGTGAAGAGTACTCCATGTAAAAGGTTAAAAGAAAATACCATGTTTTAGTAGCAGCTGTATAGAACCATTGAAAAGAGTATGTGGAAATAATACTATTAATAATAGAAATGGTTAGAAGCTAAAATTTTTTAAATGCACAAGTGTTTTAAGTAACTCAGGGAATGCTTTTTACATGATAGACAATAATCCAGTAGAGATTTTGTCAGTGACTTACCCATTAGTACAGGTGTGAAAATCACCTCCAGAACAATTAGTTACAGATTAACATGAAATGGCCTCCTTGTTCAATACTTCTGGTTTGGAAATAACCAAATCAAAAGGTTGAAATGAGTATCAGACTCCCAACAATGGGATCAACGAGCAAAGCTGACAGAAAGTATTAATTACTTACATATTCAAATTGTTTGGCAATCAAAAGTAGTTTGTCTGAAGGCATTGATGAGAAAGGTATCGTAGTCAATATACAGTGAAACATTCAAGGACTCCAGAACATGTACGGGCTACATCTCAGCTAATGTTTTTGAAAATCTACACAATTGATGGCATTTTGACTGCTGTCAGTTACAAGCCAGCTTTCTATCTATCATGAAATAAGAGAATGATTCCAGGCAGGCAGAAAATGTGATACAATGATGCATGTTGGGAAATAAAAGAGCACAGAATCCCAATATGAAAGTTATGAACTTCTTAAACCAGAGCAGACGCTAGTAGCGTCTAGCCAAAAATCCCGGTTTACCTATTGGATGATGACTGCATACGGTAACATTTATGTCTCTTTGGCTGAAACTGATCAAAACCATGTTATTATCCACCTCTTGTAAATATACCAGAAATGTTATAAGGTATGGTGATTATTAATAGGCAAAACGCGAAAAAAAATTATGGGTTTAAAGAGTTAATGCTGCTGGAAATGGATTATATGATAACTAAACAGTGGTTTCATAGTGGAGAGTGACATAGGACAGTAGGAATAATATTTCATAATCAGAAATTTATAAAGTTGGGGTGGAATGAAAACAAGGTATAGGGTTCCATTTAAAGCAAGTACAAAATACTAGTACATTGTACAAGTTATTTACTTTTTTTTGTATTTTCTATTTAATTTACAAATAAATTTACAGTTTACTTGCAATTACTTAATTATATCACCTGTACGTTTCCATTATCGTAAATATGGAAATTTTTGTTTATATTGATTTTTGTAAATTTATGGCGTATTTCCATGGTTTTATTTTTGTGTGTTTATAATCATGAAGTTTTTTAATCACCAGCATCACGAATGTCAGCAACTAAAATCGCACACGTATATCTAAGACCTTGTCCCCTCTTTGCTGGATGGATGTCTTTCCGTAACATCAGCTTCAGACAGATTCACTTTTCTGAAAAACATCTTTAAATGTGTATTTTTCAAGTAATTTTCATTGGTTTCACTCTTGTATCTGAATAACTAAAATGCTTGATTGTCTTTGATATTCTTTCACTTACATACTTGTTGATTTTGGCTCTTGTGTACCGTGAAAATATGCTGTGTTTATCACGTTTATTCCTTGCTGGGGTTGGATAAACTGCGGATAATCGTTCATTTACAGACTTCCTTACGTTCTAAGCAGGAAGGGCCTCTTGCTTTTGGCGAGCGCATGCCAAAATGTAGTTTCGTTATACATGCACTCATTATCGACCCCCTCCAAAGAAAATCGCGCTTCTCACTTTGGCGGCGCTATAACAGTGACTATTCGATTAGATTAACTCACAAATTGGCTGTGGGTGGTGTTGGCTAACCGCCTTCCCTCTAGTGCAGGGGTCACCAAACATTTTTCACAGCGGGCCAGATAACTGAGAGAATGACGAGCGCGGGCCG